GTGAGCTGAGATTGCGCCATTGTACTTAGCCTGGGCAACAAGAATGAAGCTCCGCCTCAACAAAAAAAGAATTCTCCTATTGTATTTGATTGATGTATCTCTCAAGGCTCTTTTTTTTTTTTCCTTTGAGACAGAGTCTCGCTGTGTTGCCCAGGCTGGAGTGCAGTGGCACAATCTCGGCTCACTGCAATCTCTGCCTCCTGGGTTCAAGTGATTCTCCTGTGTCCGCCTCCTGATTAGCTGGGACTACAGGCGTGCAGCACTATGCCTGGCTAAATTTCATGTTTTTCATAGATACGGGGTTTCACCATGCTTCCCAGGCTTGTCTTGAACTCCTGACCTCAGGTGATCTGGCCGCCACAGCCTCCCAAAGTGCTGGGATTACAGACATGAGCCACTGTGCCTCGCCTTTTCCTTGCAGTTTATTTTGGAAAGAAACCAGGTCACCTGTCCTTGGAATTTCCCACTTCCTGGCTTTAGCTGGCGGCCTCCCCATGGTGTTCTTTAGCCTGTTGCTCCACCACTGGTATTTTCTGTAAGCTAGAGTCAAAGATGGAAGCTTGCTCAGGCCCCAATGTGATGTCTTTCGGCCACAGCACTCCTAGGTATGCATCTGCAAGAAGGCACTGCGTGCCTGGTGTCCCTCTGCAAGTGACACTAAAGGCGAGCATAGGCTTCAGACAGCGGCACCTAGCATCACCACACGTCCCCTTCAGCCCTGTTTCACAGCCAAGCAGCCACTGCTAGGCACTGCCTAGATCCATCATTTCATGACAGCTTGCAGACGAGTGCCATCTTCATTCTGTCGTTCCTTCTTCATGTATTGGTTGGAATGCTTCTAAAAAGAGCTTTCTTTCTGTAACCGTTCAGTTACCCTGTGGTATAATTTGTACAGAGAAGGCAAGATAAAAACAGTTTTCAGAATAATGAGTTGGTCCCTAGCAACCTCCAGAAGTGACCAATGAGAGAGATGCACCATGTTCCCAGCTCTGGAAGCAGTGCACAGAGGACAGCCGAGGCCTTGGCCTCATGGAGTGAGGCCCCAGTGGGTCAGGGGAGACAAACAGTAAACAAGTAAATGAATGAGATGATTTCAGATCACAGAGTGGGAGGCAGGAGAGCATAGCGGGGGAGGCAGGCTCTGCAGTGAGGCAGGCTGTCTAGGTTTGAATCCCAGCTCTTCCCCTTGTTACCTGCAACCCTAGGGAAGTGGCCTCACCACCCTGTGCCTGGTTTCCTCATTTGTAAAACAAGGACAAGAACGTCCTTTCCACAAGAGCGTTTGTGAAGTTGAAGAGATCCAACTTGTAAAGCACATAGGACAGGCCAGACCCAGTGAATGGCTTGTGACTGTGGAGTGCTGGTGGCTCTCAGCACTTTTGGAGGCCAAGGCCAGAGGATCACTTGAGCCCAGCAGTTTGAGACCAGCCTAGGCAACATAGCAAGACCTCGCCACTACAACAATTTTTTTTTTTTTTTGAGACAGAGTTTTACTCTTGTTGCCCAGACTGCAGTGCAGTGGCATGATCCTAGCTCACTGAAAGCTCCACCGCCTGGGTGCAAGCAATTCTTCTGCCTCATCCTCCTGAGTAGCTGAGACTACAGGCATGCACTACCACACCCGGCTAATTTTTGTATCTTTAGCAGAGACAGGGTTTCACCATGTTGGCCAGGCTGGTCTCAAACTCCTGACCTCATGTGATCCGCCCGTCTCAACTTCCCAAAGTGCTGGGATTACAGTGTGAGCTACCACACCGAGCCCAAATTTTTAAAAATTAGCTAGGTGTGATGGCACATGCATGTAGTCTCAGCTACTCAGGATGAGGTAGGAGGCTGAGACTGCAGTAAGCCATGATCACACCGCTGCACTGAAGCTTTCTCAAAAAAAAAAAAAAAAAAAAAGGAAAAAGAA